CACCCCCCCCCACCCACAAACACACACCCTCCCTCCCTGTAGTGCATCTTCACAGATGTGAATCCACGCTTCCTCTGCTGCATTGCTCCAACACCGCTGTGAGTTAAATAAAAAAACAGAAAGAGAGGGGAAAACGGAGGTTTGGACTTTATAGGTACAACTGAAGGTTTTAAGTTTAGCTGTAAAATGCACTTTCTTGGAGGGGGGGATTTTGGGGGTGGATATTAGGCATCAGAGGGCAGACATGACAGCATCACCTTCTGAGTGAAAACAGATGGACAGGTGCTGACTCCTGGATGGATCTGATTTGGATGTAAGATTAGGTTTAACTCCCCCAACACACATTTTTATTTAAATTTTATATAAAAAATATTTTTTGCCCCGACTCTTTCAAAGCCCCCCTTTTCACTCACACACAGACAGAGCTGCATTGCTATTCTGAGAGAGTTAGCTGTCTCAACCCACGCACAGAATCTGAGAAAGAGAGAAAGGCAAGAACTGAGGAAGGGAAAAAAGAGGAGAAGGAAAGGAATGGAGGTGAGGACTTCTCTACATAAAGGACCAGAAAGAGAGAGAGAGAGAAAAAAACCCTTGCAGTTTTATAATTTGAGTCTTTTAATCAGTTGTGTCGAGCAGCAGATGCACAGTTTAGATTAGCACGCCTGTGTTGGAGCGTGTGGCGCTGCAAAACTGCAGATCTGTTTGTGTGATGGTGCCGTGTTGGAACTGGTAAGTGCTGGAAGAAATGTACTTGATTCTGTGCCCACCCACACACACACTGCCCTCCCACTCATGGTCGTCTCTGCATCTATACCTCTGGCTCTTCCCGCTTCGCCACAATCCTTTTTATTTATTTTTGTTTTTGTGCTTATTTAAATCCCTAACCCTGCATTTATCCCTCTCTCTTCTCCATCATCACTGGCTGTTTCTTTTTTATTTTATGTTTTTTTGCAGGACAGCGTTGCTCCTCCAAAGCAAAACAAGCATAACCTATTTTATATGAAAACCACTGCTCACATCTGCACCAATGAGAGTTTGGTTCTAATCTAAATGTTTGTTTTTTTATGTCACAGATCATTGACGTGTTTCCTGGACACGATTCTGGAAATCGAGGAGAGAAATTTGTCCCTTCAGGAACATTTAGTTGTTTTTTTCCCCACCTCTGAACCCTCGTCAGAAGGTTAGAGAAGCACATGAGTGAACCAAGCGGAGCCTTCTCATTCTGCTCCCCCCACCCGTCCCCATCTCTGCCTACATTCTCTGCTACAGATAGGGACGTTTTGATAATTACATGTAATTATAATTTCTGTGGGAGACAGATCTGCCTCTGTCTATTATTGCCGACACCTCCAGCACAATAACTTCACGCATTTACATATTTCTCAACAAAAGTGATATTCTTTGAACCCCCACCAAAGATAAAAAAAAAAAAACAGGAATAATTTTACTCAGAGAGACATGTCACATGCAAAAGCAATGTGCCATTCAGCTCAAATCTAATTAGGGAATTCAGCTGAGTGACACGGGCAACATTTTGTGCCCAAAAAGAAAAGAAAAAAAAAACATGGCATTCGCCTCATTTCGTGGAGTGTTTTACAGGCTTGGAGTCATCTATTTGGTTCAAGCGTACTGCTAATTTTTTATTCTTTCCCCCCTGTTGTTACAGCCTTCTAGCACATAAGCAGAGCCATTCTCATTATCACCCACAGCCCAGTCACAGAAACGGCCTGTGCCAAGAGAGTACAGAGCAAACTGATCCGCAGATCCAGATAAATAAATGTACCGCTAGATATGATGAGGGTTAGCGGGTTAAAAAATAGAGACGATGACCATAATCAGTGGCTCAGCTTCTCAATTTAGATAAACTGTCTGAAAGTTGTAAAAGCACCAGATTATTTTAATACACATAGTCTTATTTCAAAATAGTTGCTTACAGGATAAAACAAGTGCCCATTCTGAATGTAAACAGTGCCAGACGTCGTAGATTTGTTTTCAAGTGCCATGATCAGCAGAAGAATGTACAGGGATGCTGTTTCACTGAACTAATTTTCTTCCCAGATTTATCTCATGTTATGGCTCCAAGCAGAAATATCAAGATTTGATGTTAGTTGATTTGATCAGTGCAGGACAAAACTTAGGGTGTTTCTGGATGCTGGTTCCTTTCTAGAAATCATTTTTATACCATTATACCCAACATACATCACACTTTACCTGTTTCTTTCATTGATAGACCGTATAGGTACAAAATAAAAATGATAATGACAAAAGCAAATAGACTTCATACGGTTAGTTAGTGATCTGTTGACCCAGTCCAGTACATGCCACATGATCAGTTCACATGACATTTTAGTGAGTTAAAACTGAAAAAAGCAGATAAAGCGCTGTGACGGCATTGACTCAACGACAGAAAATAGATGTCTTAGTCATGTAAAAATGACGCCCACCACCAATCTCCGAGTCCTCGCCGTCTCCCTGCTCTCCCTCTTTGCTGCCCCAATTACCACGGCTGTGGAGACCCCTTCGTATCCCCCTCCTCAGCACGTAGACCGCTCAGGGAGACCGCTCACCCAGCAGCCCGGGACAGACTCCAGTGCCTCCCTTCTGCTGCGAGCCATCCAGGCCGATGCCAGGCCAGCTGCTCTCCGAGGCAGACCCAAGCCTGCTAAGAACCTTCCCGAAACCTCAGAGGGAGTCCTAGAGACGCCGCCGAGACCCCAGCCGCAGGTCATGTTCCCCAAGAACGTGACCGTGACAGAGTCAGTCACACAGCGTTTCAGAGCAGCCCAAGTGCCGCCTGTCATGGAAGGATGGCCTGACGTCTGCTGGGGTTATTACGATGTGATGGGGCAGTTCGACAACGCCTTCAACTGCTCCAAGGACAACTTCATCTACTGCTGCGGAACATGCCACTACCGTTTCTGCTGTCCGGAGCGAGGCCGCAAGCTGGAGCAGGAGAATTGCAAAAACTACAACTCCCCAGACTGGGCCAAACCACAGACAGATGCCAACATAATACCGGAGGAGTTGGGTCCTGACCCGGACTTTGACCCACTGAAGCAGCAGAGCCACAACACAGGCTTTGTCATCGGTGGGGTCATTGTGTTCATGGTGGCAGTGGCTGTGGGCATCAAGGTGGTCTTCAATAAGGTGCAACAGGAAGCCAACCAAAGGGACCTGAACATGCCTAGGTGAGACTTGCTCATTTATTTACCTCATTCATTTTTGGTTTGTGGACGTAATGGATGATTCTGTGTTTGAATTGTGTATTTAAAACTCAACTCTGGGCTTAGAGTAAAAATATTAGTTACTGATTTCTTTATTAGCTGTAGCAGCTCTGGAACTTGTGAACAATTTAATTCACTCCTTCCTTTGTTGTTTCTCCTGTGTCCTAACATCTCAGAGCTCTGGATATACATTTGCTTGTTCAAGAATTTTTTTTTGTATTTTTGTAATACTGGATGGTTTAGACATATATTAAAGTGATCAGATACTTTGAGTTGGAGTTTACTAGAAAGGTTACGAATAGTTAACATGATATAGGTAGCCTTTTGTACAAACTCAGTTTAAATCTGACTGGACGGTCAAAGACCAAAATGGATCGCTGCCACCTTAAAACTTCAGTCTCAAAAATGTCAAAGCGGTATATGAAAACACGATTATAAATCTTTCCGTGGAAATTTGTTTAGCAGGATTATTTACATAAAATGTTTATTTATGAGTACAAATAGTGGCAAAAGTTGTCATCTCTAGCAGGAATATCATATATTTGCTAGAAAGATCACATAAAATAAAATGGACAGCAATGTAAAAGTTTTAGTTGAACGACCATGGAAAGGTAAGACATTAACAGAACCCCACTTTAATAGATCTGAACCATTCTTTTAAGTTTGGATGGTCTAACACTGTACACAAATCAATGTACAAGCATGATTGTGGTTTGTCTGAATTCTAATTTAACTTTTTTGGTCTTCATAAATAGGTGAAAGATGGTTGAAAATAAGATGTCTGATCTTAAAGGGAGCTCTGACTGGTTGTAACATTAGATATTGTTTGATTGATTTGCTTCTATAAAAATGAGACCAAAAATACCATATGTTAAATTTTTATGAATAAAAAAATTATATCTTTTCACACTGACATTGCCATGTTATTTATGTTGCAAAGCATTATTGCTCCATCCAGCTTGAACTTGAGCTTAATTTTGGACAATGTCTGATATTCTCACTTATAACTGAAATCAGAGAGCATTGACAGAGATGGGAATGTAAAATGACTCAGGCTGTACTGAAACTAGATACCGCATAGCGGTAACATAATGACCCCCTCACACAAGAACTCAGAAGTCTTTATTCCTAATAACTGTCATGCTACTAGGTGGCAGGTGCATCCCAAAATTGTAGTGGTTTGGGTGGGGGTCTTTTATTTCTGGAAGGGGGAATGGTTGACCGGAAGGATAGCCCCTCATCAGAGCTAAACAACCAACGAAAATCTGAAGCTCCTATGTTTAATAGTTTTTGAGCAATAACCATTTTTGTATGTCCATTTTCAGATAACTTGGGAGTCTGGGGTCTTGGGGCACTGATTGGTGGGCCTGATGGATAGAGCATCATCAGAGCTAAACAACAAAGAAATCTGAAGCTCCTAATTTGAACAGTTTCTGAGTTATATGCATTTTTGCATGTCCAGACACCCCCTCTTTGAAAGGAGCCCCCTCCTCAAATATGGGGTGTATCGTAAAACTGTTGGCTGGTGCAGTGTAGTTCGGACCCATCTATAGTCCTGCCTAATTTCATGTTGATCTGTTGGAAAAATATGCGTTGTTCAAAATGGTATGTCCCAATAAACAGGAATCAGCTGGATTTCTTCTTAAAACTTTATTTATAATCTTCTGACTCCAATCAGGTACATTCAGCGCTCAGCAGCACAGGCCCCAGTCAGACCTTCGGCTGAACCACAACAAACATGGGAGTTCTGCTCTGAGCAGACACGCTGCAAAACACTGACAACTTCTTTTACTATAATAATGAATTCAGCTTATAAAGTTCATCCCTTCCTGGTTACACCCCAGAGGTGTTACCTTTTACGTCAGACGTCAGAACGTCACTCAGTTTTGTTTAGCCTAAGAGAAAGAACACATGATAACACAAACACACCAACACCAGCCTTAAAGCTGCAATGATCAGAAAGTATAAAATACAAAACTGAATCTAATATTCAATTAATCAGTTGCAAAATTTCTTCAATCCCTCTCTTGACATATATAAAATATGTCAAAACTATAAGAAATTTTATGAAAACTTTATAAAGAGAAGTTATAACATCTGTTGTCACATCAGGATATTTCTAAACATTTCCCAACCCCAGAAATTCTAATTTTAATCCTCCCAGACATAAAAATATTCATCATCAGGGATAAGACTCATAATGCTTTCTTTCCACTCTTGTTTCTTCTTCTCTGTCCATTTATTTTTATTCCTCATCCAAAGGTTCTGTAGCTTTGTGCGATAATCTGAACGCTCCTGTTCTCTTTTCACAGGGTCTTCAAAGCGGTCTCCGATCCTGTATACTTTTTTCTTGGATGTAGGTTTTACATTCTCATTCTCAGTTGATGGTTTGGGTTACTCATTGGAGAAGAAGTGGTCAGTTTTTCTTCAGTTGTAGGCTGGGGAAATCCATTTTCTGGTTCCTCTGTTTGTGATGATGATGAGTCCAGATGTTCTTCCAGTTCAGCAGTTTGAAGTAACTCTCCTCTCTGTGGTTCTGGTTCAGCCACTTGCACGTTGTTTTCCATTGGTGTCTCAGTTTGCACCTGTTGTCYTTCAGCCTCAGACGTCAGCTGATCACTCTCCTGTCGTTTGGTTCCAGCCGGAACTTGGTTCAGGAAATACTTCATGTTTGAAGCTAACAGCTCCAATCCATGTCGGTTCAAAGTCATTCCATTAGACTTGAAGAGATGTTTTCTCTCCCAGAAGAGATCAAAATTATCCACACATCTCACAGGGTGGTCAGCGCAGAACTTTTCCAAAAAACCATTAAGAGCAAACAGTCTACTGAACCTCTCAGCTCCTCCTCTGGCTCTAGGAACGGACCCACTGAGGAACACATCCATGTTGAGATTTTTAACTGCATTTAGCAGCTGAATGAAATCCTTCTTCAGGATTTCTGACTGTCGGTTCATAACCTCATCACTTCCTGTATGAATGATGAGCTTCTTCAGAGTTGGATATTCTGCTGAGATTTCCAGAATCTTCTCTGCGAGGTCAGACACTTTATCAGCAAAACTCAGAACTTTGACTTTTTTCTCTTTCCAGAAGCCTCTGATCTCATTCATCATTTTATCTGTGATGATCAGCATTTCTTGATTCTTGAAAGTCTCTATTTGGACTTGCTTTGGCTTTGAGCTGGATCTGATCTCAGGTCCCTCTCTGAGGTCAGAAGATGAACTTTGTTCAGACTCAGTTTCTTCCAGTGGTGTGAATCTGTTTTGAAGAAAGACTGCTCTGTCTTCATTTCTCTGGCTGTTATCAGTTGTTTTGATTACAGCCTTTTTCTGCTTTATTCTCCTTGCTGGTGGAGGAAAAGCATTTCTCTGTAATTGTGGCCATTCATTGTCATCTAAGAGTTGATTTCTTCCTGAGTGATTTTTTGGTCTGGCACAAAGAGAGTTCCTTACAGCTTTACTCTCAGAAGCAGCTTCCATCTCCTCTCCATGTTGATCTCTCATCTCAGCCTTCTGACCCGTTTGAACGCATGTTGAGTCCTCCAAAGCATTCATCTCTTCCAAATGATGAATCTTGAGCTCCAACACAGTCACCTTTTGGAGAAGCGGGCAGAAAACCTCTTTGGAAAAGGAAGGAGGCATCTTGAAGCTGTTCTGTACTCACTCTCAGCAAAGGATGTTTCAAAAATCTTCTCAGGTTCTTCAACCAAAAATAAAATCCAATGTTCTCTGCTTATTCAAGGTCATAAATCACGTCGGGGAATTCACCAAATTTTTGGAAAAATATGCGTTTTTCAAAATGGTATGTCCCAATAAACAGGAATCAGCTGGATTTCTTCTTAAAACTTTATTTATAATCTTCTGACTCCAATCAGGTACATTCAGCTCTCAGCAGCACAGGCCTCAGTCAGACCTTCAACTGAACCAAAACAAACACGGGAGCTCTGCTCTGAGCAGACACGCTGCAAAACACTGACGACTTCTTTTACTATAATAATGAATTCAGCTTATAATGTTCATCCCTTCCTGGTTACACCCCAGAGCACCTTTTACGTCAGACGTCAGAACATCACTCAGTTTTGTTTAGCTCAAGAGAAAGAACCCATGATAACACACACACACCAACTCTTATTCTGTTATGTCCTTAAAGCTGGTAAAGTATAAAATACAAAACTGAATCTAATATTCAATTAATCAGTTACAAAATTTCTTCAGATCGGTGCAGCCATTTATGTGCTGTTGACCAAAAATCACAATAAATAAATAAATAAATAAATAAACCGTACGAAAACAATATGACTCCCGCTTACGCTTCGCGTGCGGGTTTCATAATAAATATGGATGGACAACAGAACTGCTTCATGTAAGGAGAACTAGTTTTTAGGCTTTAAGCTTTTGCATTAGCTCTCGAGCTAATATATACATGGCAATCTAGGATGTTAGCTCCAGAGTTAATATTTCAATCTATGGTATTAGCTGTAGAGCAAATAAATATAGCCTTAGTTACTGGGCTAGTATATATAGGATCTTTGGCATTAGCTCCCAAGCTAATATATATATAGGATCTATGGTGTTAGCTCCAGAACTAATACATGGCAATCTATGGCGTTAACTCCCAAGCTAATATGTGGCGAGCTATGTTATTATCTCCGAGATAATAAATATAGTGATCTATGGTGTTAGCTCCTGAGCTAACATTTGTGGCAATTTACAGCATTAGTTCTTGAGCTAATTTACAAAACATCACGTTTAATAGTTTTAACCCATATGCTATGCAGAACTTAGAAACGAATAAAAAATATAACTATTGTCACACATTATAGCTTTATATCCTTGACTTTTTGTGTTTTAGTCTCAACTTATCTTCATCATCATTGTAAGAAAACGTGAGTTCAAACAGTATCGAAGCAATTACTCCCTCAATAAAAGTGAATTGGTATGCCTTTTCTCCCATGAACAACCTTTTCAATCGACCTTTAGAGTGCACCAATATAGAGTTGTTATTAACCTCAAACACATTTTCAAACCCCTATTCACTAAGTTGCAATCTGGGAGGTAGAGGTAAAGTCACATAGTCATGGGTGGGGTCAGTATCAGCCAAGTATCAGTTTAGATTTCCTGATTGGCTATTAGACCCCACAGCAGTTCCCAAAAAATTAAAAAGCAAAAAACAATGTCACATGCCACCCTCTTCATCCTCAGAATGCATTATGTCAGTAACAAAACTGAGACATGCTAAAGTAAAAAATATGCAATGTAAGCATATACAGTTATTTTATTGTTATATTATTTATTATTTATTAAGCAATTAATCTTTTTACCTTTCACAAACAACAAATTTTAGTAGAATAGAGAAATAACAGATAAAAACAACATTTGCAAGCAGTCAGAGATCCCTTTAAGCCTGTATTTGTAAACCACATAAAGTACTATTAAAAATCACAAGAATTTCTCTCCAGTGCAGTATCATATATACATATAATACTGTACCGTACATCATCATATTGTCAGAGAACCGAGTTTATTGTGGTCAGTTGAGATTTACGTTAAATTCCACACCTTGTTTCCTTTGTGTTTGTGGCACCGTCAGAGCCCTGGTTGACATGTTGCGGCATCAGTCGAGCCCAGTCCAGCAGGACGAGAGAAACAACAGCGTGGCTCTGACAGTAGGGGACGGGACGGGGACGATAGGAAGAGCTCCTAAAAACCTTTACGCTCCCGGAGTGCCCAACAAGGACAACAGATGTGAGGATCTGTTTTTCTTTTTCTATAAAATCAGAGCTTTTGTAGGAAGTGGACATTATAGATTCAGGCTTGTTTGTTTGTTTTTTTCTCTCTCTCTCTCTTCTGTGTTCCACCACTTTTGAGACATTTTTGTGATGAGACGGGGGACAAATATCCCCAGTGGTGGTGTGCTTAAAATTAGATTTTTCTGTGCTATTTGCCATCACTCAAAAACAGATTTTTAAAGCGTATGTGGTTTCATTTTGAAATTAAAGCCTTAAACAAAAACATTTGTAGAGATTTTAATGTTTCGACGATGGTACGTGCAATCATTAATGTTTTTTTTAATATTTAAATGGTGTTCAGCATCAGAACTGCCCGACATCCATTTTGTGGGCTGATTGTCTTCTTTTTCTTTTGACTTACAGTGGGCAATCTGCAACACAATTTCATCCACCCGTCAGGCTCCAGCCCAAAACACACTGCGACTATCGGTAAGACAGCTGCTGAAATCAGAGCTTCCATGTAAATTACGTGTAATCACTCCGATTCTTCATTTACTTCATTCACCTACATTTTTAAGCTCAAGCAGGCTTATTCAGTAGAACAATAATAATAATTATCATAGTTCCGGTTGCTCGCGTTAGCGTTGAAAAGAACTGAAATCAGCCTTCTTTCCAGTGAATGTTGGCAGATTCACACCCTGTTACACGAATCTATCCAGAGGAGCAGATCTCATTTAACACACAGTTGTTTCTTCCCTGTGGTCTACACAGAACGCACCCCTCGGATGAACAACGCTCAGCTGGCAGCTGGAGGCACCCTGCTCTCCAGCAAACATAACAACACCAAGTCCCAGCCTTCCTTCCACCACTCCCTGCACAACCTGGCCCAGCTGCCGCCCTCCTATGAGAGTGCCACCAAGCCTGAGCTCAACAGATACTCCTCGCTCAAACGCCTCGGTAAGTGCCGTGCCTCCCCGCAAATGAGACACTTTCTCACCTCCCTTAGAGTTGCCGTTCCTGCGATTGTTTCATAAGCGCTGGAGAATGCTATCTTGATGCTAAAAAATGCAGAATGCATCATTATATGATTGAGTCTTTGCTGTGGCATTTTAAACAAATCAGGGAAATATTGTTTGGGTTTCAGAGAAAGGTCTGGATGAGTACTCGTCTGGTTACTGCACCACCAAGCGTCGACCTCACACAGCCCAGCCGGCCCTCCAGTCCTCCCAGCACCACCTCCACTGGGGTGGAGACTATACTCTCAGTGGCAGAGGCACCCTTCCCAGGCATGCAGCCCGCCCCTGGATCCCGCCGCCACCCTCTGGCATGCCTGTCTCTCCCATGCCTGCCTCCCCCACTCCCAATCCGTATCCTCTGGACCCTCCTGAGCCGCAGTTCAATCCCAACTATGACACACTCTCCAAGCCAAGGAAAGTTAAGTCCACAGACCAACTGCTCAACATGGGCGATGTCCCGGGCAACACTGGGACTCTGTCTCGGCTGTCCAAGAACCAGCAGCACCAGTACTACAAAGCCATGGCTGCCTCCAATAAGAATTCCAACACACAAACCCTGACCAGGAAGCCACAGGATAGGCAGGAGAGGCAAGAGAGGCAAGAAAGGCTGCTCATGTCCCCGGACCATTTGGAGGAGAGGATGGGGGTCGGTGGGATCGGGGTTGGCGGAATGGGTGTTGTGGACCCCTACGCCCACACAGCAACTGGAGGAGGAGGAGGAGGTGGTGGCGGAGGCGTCCCCACGTTGCCTCGCCAGCAGAAGGCACAGTCCCAGCAGAACGTCTGCGCCACGCCCTCCCTCGACCGGCACCACATGATCAAGATGAACTCTCACCCTACGTCCGGACGAGAGCAGGAGAGGAACACGACCGGGACAAGCCACGTCAGCGGGAGCGGCATGGGTTGGTCAGCGGGGGAGATGCCTGGAGCCGGGGTCGTCATGGGAACAGGAACGCTGGGGGGCCACAGCGCCAGGAGGATGGCTTTCGCGGCCAAACGGCAAAATACCATCGAGCAGCTACATTTCATACCAGGTGGGGGCGGTGGGGGGTCAACAGGAAGTGCAGGTGGCAGTCAGGGCATCAGGACAGGGAGTAAAAATGAGGTGACGGTGTAAGATCTGTGCCTAGTGTAGAGTTTAGTCCTTAGATGTTTGGAAGTAGATCACCCTTCAGCATTTAAATATTTAGCTAGAACAAAAACTGGAATAATACAGTGCTAACAATATCATGTGTTTAGACTATTCTAATTAGTTTTCTCTTGTAATGAAATTAGCTTGATTATGACTGCTTATAAAATTAAAGATCTAGACGGGGAAAATCTGTATTTCCCCATTTTTTGTGATAGCCTACATCAGCCATATTTTGTAACAGAGTTTGCCATATTGCCATAAACAGCAGTGCCATTACTTGTAGAGGGAAGGACTGGATGGGTGAAACGATATAAAAAAGTGGGGGGGATGATCATAGTTTAGTTTTTATATATGTTTTTCAAAAAAAGTACTCAGGAGCCATATTAGATAGGGAACCAGATGATATAACAAAGATTTGATGAAGCAGAGGATTACTTCATGGCAAAGTTTCCGAAAGCAGAGACAATGACCTGGACTTATGGTGATTTACTGAACTGGATCTCAAAGCTCGGTGGACCAGATGGGTCTCAAAGACCATTGTGCCTGGTGAAATCTTTTATTTCTGTTTTGTTTTTTGGAGAATTTTTTCAGCTGAACAAACCTCGTCCTGACACAGGGAGACTGAACTTGTTCCTTATTACAGTACATAACCGTGTGAAGAAGGTAGAACTGTCTTTCCTGCAGCTTTCTGACTTATTTAAACAACAGCCGTACAATCCAATTGCCTGGGTTGCCTAGATTTCCATGTGACCTTAGATTAAATCACCAGAAGAGACTCACACGCTGATCACTGTTACACTACAGGAAGCTGATATGTAAACTGACGTTATACCACATTAGGGGGTGAGGTCCTTCCCCCCCATTTACAAATCAAACCTGTACGGAACAGTGGCTTACCAAATAATTTAAAAAAGAGCCATCAGTGGTGATGTAACGCTAACACCAACAGAATCCAGAGATTATTCCTTCAGTTTACGTACAAAAAGAGGCTGTGACACAGGTTGCATACGAAGAGCACAAAAGGGTTGCACTCACACAACTGTCCTTCAAAGCCATTTTATGGAGATACAGAGGAAACGCCAACCAGGAAGCTGGTCTGACAATCACCATCTAATTATTAACATCGGGTGACACGTTACACAAGTCGGTGATGTTTCATACCGTCAAAGAATTGGTTTCCCAAGCAAGCCAAATTCCTCAGAGTCAGGCGTGAAGGGCAACTCGAGGTGTTGTGAGAGACTATGATGGTTAGGAAGCCCTTCCCATCTTCAGGACAAAGACCTTGTTGTATCATAATGCACTTCAGCCAGTATAAGTAAAAAAATACATATATGTAATAATTGAAAAGAAAAAAATCTTCATCAATAACAACGCTTATCAATACTAAGGGCTATCCTATCCTATATACTGTAGTATGTGATATCTGTGGTCCATATACAATGCTATCTCTTTCTATTGATTTTGTGTTGATATTGTCATGACGTATTAAGTATTAATATGTACAAAAAGAAAAAAACAAGAGCAATTTAAGCACAGTTCAAAGAGAAACACCAAGACAAGTCTTTTGCACAAATAAGTCCCCCCGATATTAGCACCGGATACTTTGCGTCCTCGAGGTTTACATTCGGAAGGTCTGACTGATTGATTGATCGATCTAATGGAAGGTATAGCATTGAGCAAGGGAAACTTTATTTTCTTCTGTCAACTGAAAATCAGAGATAATCCGTTTGGCTTTCGTTCAGTCTCGCGAAAGGCTAGACACAAAAAAGCGGACGAACAAAAAACATTACATTTGGACAATCTTCCTATACACAGTGCTAAATGTAGTTGTTATTAAATTTGATGGAGTGTTATGATTAATACTTATTATAACTGTTATGGTTATTATTAACAATTATCTTATGATGTGATGTTCTTTTTCTTGGTGGGGTTTTAAGTGTTTATTGTTTTTAGATAACGTGCATTTTCACGACTAGTTGGGTTTTTCATACATCTGGTCATAAAAAATGAAATATATACATATATACATATATAAAAATAGATTCCAAACTTGATGCATGCCAGCTCCATTTCATTGAGAGGCATTGACAGCATGCCCAGGTTTTTTGAGGTCGTCAATGCTTAAATGGCCAATTCTCCAACTGTATGTACTGTGCCTAGACATCAGCCTTATGACTTCTTGATCTTGAGTCATTACGTAGGTTTTCCAACTCTGGTACAAAACCATGTATCAAAAAACTCTGCAGCCTTTGAAATGTATATGTAGACCAGAAAAAGGGGAGTTTTAGGCATGAGCCAGCAGCCTGAATCTATCATTTATCATAGGCTGTATGCACAAACCTGCTGCCATAATGTATGTATGTTCGGATGAATGTTTATTTCATAGATTGGGGGGGATAAACGGAGGTCTTATGGAAACCTGAAAGCTCTGAGCCCAGTGTATTTTTTTCAGGGAAATAGGACAGACAACATACAGTTCGATTTTTTTAATAGAGCCACAAAAGGTCTGTAGCAAAGTCTGTAATAACTCACAAGCCATATTCATTGAAATAACCTAAACCCTAACCCTAACTCATCATCACAACTTTTATAAATGGTTAATCTAATTTGTGCAAGTATTGTAATTTGTATAGCTAGTACAATTGGAATATTTTGAGTGATCTCTTCGACATTATTTTGAGGATACGAAAAGAAAAAAATTCTGTGTTAGTATTTAATGAAATGTACAGTGCCAAGCTCATAACATTTTGTTGTCTTTTTATTCTCATAACACCCTTGATGGCTATAGGGGTTGTTTCTTTTTTTTCCACACACCCAGGGATGTTGACAAGCTTGTTTTGTTTTATTTTGGGGGTTTTTTTTTCTCAGAGAAAAATGAATAAGTATGGTGTGTGTTTTTACCATTATGAATTCGTTTAGATGGAGGATGTTTTAAAGGCCACATAAAATGGACAGGGACAGTGTCCAGCGATGAAAAATTATGGATTTATTTTCATGACAATAAATTTCAATACAGCCCTTTTTGTTATTGTTTATTGCATTGATCCCCTTGGATACGACAATGAGAAACAAAGAATTTGTATAATAAAGTTGATGGGAAAAAATGTTTTGTCATTTTTACTTTTATTTAGCAAGATGTGTTGAAAATACTTTTACCTTGATGTAATAGGACTACATTATTACTGTCTGCCGCCAAATAGCAAAAGGTAGATGATAATATCTTTGCCTGTTTGTTTGTTTGTTTGTTTGTTTGTTTGTTTGTTTGTTTGTTTGTGTTTTCATGAATCAAAATGGATTTTAACAAAACTTCCAGAAAATAATCGTTGGACTGTTGTCTTTGGATCAAAATGACCCAATTCCTCAATTTTAAAACTGGGTTATTTTGATCCAAGGGCAACAGGAGGGCTAAAAACTACAAATGATTTCTTTTATTAAAACAATTATTTTCTTCAAGTAATTAAAAAATTTCCCTAAGCTGCTTAGGAGTAATTAAAAGTATATGTTGGCTTGCTAGCTAGTTAGTAAAGTGCTAGCTAACCTTTTTGTCAGTGTGCCACAAAGATATTTTTTGTTTTCAGTACAAAAACCTGTAATACTGGCAAGCAAGTATCTTGATAGTGACTTGCTAGTGAACAAATTGCTAGCTACAGATGCTACATAGTAATGCTGTTAGCAGCCTGCCACAAAGACGATTTGTTCTCTGTACTTAAAGCCATAATAAAGGCTAGCTATTAGCTTGATAATAAGCAACATGCTAGCTATGCACTTTCAAGATAGTGACGTTGTTAGCCTGCCACATCGTTATTTAGCTATGAAGAAAAATAAAATTACTTACCATTAAAGACAGATCACATGAACTTCACAAAGAAGTTACATTTTCAGATGAAAATGCAAAATCCAAGTACACTACAAAATGCATTTAATGGCTAAAAAAGTGGATTCTCTAAGAGTGCAGAAAACTCACACCGGTACTGGAGAAATATCTTTATTTTCTGTTTATGTCATATTTGTTCAACCCGTTCAGTTTTCTCTATTTTCTATGTAGTTTTTTAAACAATTACATTAAAATATTTGTGACGGAACAGATATTCAGGCTAAAGTCTGGACTTACCAACTACAATTTTGCCATCATCATTTTCCTCTGGCTCTGGGTCAGACTCTGGCTCCAACATGTAAGGCTGGATGGACAAGTCCTCCATTGTTGACATCTTGGTAAATCCCTCTATCAAATGAAACTGTCTGGAAC